TTTAAATAATGAGTGTTGTTTGATAAATCAATCATCCTGTATAAGTATATACATATATGCTCGTATTATGTTATATGTTATTAGGCTTAATCGATAGCTGATATATAGATAGCCGATACCAGAATGTAATCATCAACCGATAAGTGCAAAATGTGATCATATAGCTTTACTCTATATTTTTTAAACGGAACGTAATACTACAACAAAAATATTTTCTACAATATTTGAGGAAAATATAGACATAACTTTAATCGAAAATATGTGGAGGAAAATGGAAACCAAATTTTTTTTTATGGAGAAAAACGGTATCTCGATTTYGGAGGAAAATGGAACCGCCCAGCATCAAAATATTACAAATGAATCACAAATATGAGACTAAAAGCGAGATCTGTACCTTATTATTATTTCACCCTCCCCCTCCCCCGTAAATATGCCACTGGTTTCATAAAATGAATAATATTTTTTTTTGAAAATCATGCATTATACAAAAAATAAAAAAATTGTCTTTCGTATAAAATCTAAAAGTTTTGTGAGGATCTATCCCCCATGATATTTTCCTTGGGTATACCCATAGGGCATATATGCCCCTTATTACGAGAGCGCTAATTTATTTTTCCGCCGAGGTGCAAAATGTCTAAATACGGCACTGAGCAGTGGTGGGAACGAACGCTTGCAACRTGTAGAACTGTAAATATTCGTGCTTAATATTACATACTAAGATTATAGGCATTATARCGCATGTTATATATTATTTTTATTTCCGTACGCATGTTTTGAAAATCACTCCGACTGGCATGTGTTATAAATGTTATAATAATACTATATTTTCGAGCGCGGTTTATTTTCATCATTGCTGTTGCACGATTTTGGTATCGTACGAATAATGATGATAAGCGTGATAATATAATGCTGCAGCTGTGTATAGTGATGGCGGTGCCGTGGTGTGGTGAAAATATTAATAATATGGCTCAATGCGCCAATACTGCGCAGACACGCCAGTCGTTAATTCCACAGTTCGGGGCTTATTCTATACTCTTATTTTATTTTAATCATGACCATATTATTTAACGGYGAAATTATTAAATACTCACGCATATTTTGTATAATAAATAATAATATATTAATGTAATATAGTATAAAAACATATTGTGGATATAGTTTATTGGTGCGTTATTGTACTGAAGTACATAATATATTTTTTTGTTTGATCTTTCTTTATTGATATAAGTTAACTAACATAACAATAAAATTAATTTTTAACTGTAAAATAATTGAAAAAAGTCAGTGTTAATGCGTGTGTAAACCTCTTAATTTATATTATTTATACTAACGGTATATTTATAATTTTTATACGAATACAACGAGTAAGTAATATCATATAAAAGCGCATATTTTATAGATAAAAACAAATACATTAAAATTATACATTAGCGCAATCATACAGAGGATCGCTTAGCTATAGTTTAATTTTAGTACCCCATACCAGGGGCAAGGGTGCCCCAGCTGACTAGTTCCAGGGTGTATTATTAATTATTTTATCGACTATAAAATATAGAATAGATGCTTTATATTTTCTGTATCATCTAAAATGGGTAATATTGTACTATATGCTACGAGTACCTACTATAATATATATATATATATATATATATATATGTGTAATCCATTATCATACATTTTAATTTAGAATAGTTGAAATTTGAAATTTTGAAACATACACCTGGCTACTTGATAAAATTGTTAATCTATAACCAAGAGTGCCCGTAGAAATATTAGACGTTGTGGGGAGGGATGAGTAGGGCCAAGTCAGAAATCTCTGTTAACACGRCACATTCTTTTTTTACAAGTGATGAAGCGATTAATAATAATTAAAATAGCGAGGGCATGTCCCTTGATACACCTATGCCTTTAGGTATAAACTATAAATGTTACTATTATAGGTAATATGACAATTTGTACGTTCTGAATAATTCATTTAACTCTGTAGACTGTAGTTTGTTATGTTTAATATTAGAGTGCATTGATTGACCTATTATAACAGTTAGAAGTAATAATATTATTAAGTGAATTTAATAGTTTTTTTTCAAATATTTTAATTTCAAAGCGAATTATGAKCATTTTAAAATGAATTATCTCGCTTTAAAATTAAAATAAACAAAACTTAAACTTTGAAATTTACTTGATAATATACATAAATAATGTACATTTTTCTGTTATGTGTTTATATAAGACGTATACAACGTATTCGGATGACATCCTCTTAATATAGTCATTAGTCATAAAGCTTCAGCCTATATATGATAATTATATCTATATTTCAAGMCGTTTTTAGARAATATCTACTGACGTGTTCATCACTCCTCTTCTCTTATAAATTGTCACTAGTAAAAAAAAAAGTCTTCCCTTAATTTAGTGACATATCCAGTCAATGGAGTACAAACGTTGAAGGGGGCTTGGGGATACCCCCTTCCTCGAAATGTTTAGGATGCATATATGATAAAACTACAATTTGGGGTGATATGTCAATTAAAAATATTAATACGAATAAAAATTAGTAGTCTATTAAAATTTACGATATGTTTTGTTATGTTCAGGTTCTGGTCATCCAAATGAAAAAAATTTAAAAATTTAAACCCACCCCCGAAATTCAAGTCTAAATACGCCACTGTATCCAGTTACTCCCTTTTAAAATCGAAGTGACGGAGCCCTGGGTATTTACTAAGAATATAATATAAGAAAAAGAATCTAAAAAAATAATTATTATTTAAATAATAAATATATATTATAGTTATTAGTTAAGTACTACTATTTATTCTCGTGGACACAAAAAATATCCTTAAAAAGGTCCTGCTATATTTATATTATTCATATTATAATAAGTATATGTATTAAATATTAAATAAGATATGGTTGATAATTCATTAGTATATAAATACGTATTATTCTTTATTCTATCGTAGTATAATAATTTTATACATTAATTTAAATTTTCTATTTTTAGGGTCGAAGATCAAGGTGTATTACTGTATTAGTGACTAATTCGTATAATTTATTTAATATGTCAATTATGACATAAATATTAAATGATACTTAATATAGTCAAATTATTATAATTATTCAGAATACTTTTTATTTTGCAATTGTTTTATCGTTTAAGGAAGTGAAATATAGGACYGGTTGATAAAATATGTTAACTGTGATTTTTCTRCGTTAGAAATATTATAAAAGTATACTAAATAAATAATGTGTACAAATAATAAAACAAATAAACTTGTATAATTAATTGAGATCACTATACATTTGTAACTTTATTATTATACGTATTAGGTATAYATAATTTAATAGAAATAATATACTGTTCCAATTTTTTATTGATACCTGAATATATATATTATATACATAAAATTGTATCAATTTGATTCGTGTATATTTAATGTGAGTATATATTTTAAACTCACGTTAAAAATAAATTGAATTATTTATAACTTTTTAAGTTTTTAACTAAATGTCTAAATATTAACACGCAGATACACTTATTTGATGATTAAAATGTCTTAATTTTAATGCTGAGTGGAGTGAAGTACTTTTTGGTTTTACAAATTACAATGATATGGGTATAACCTTTTAGAGCAGTAAAAACTAAAAATCCTTCGATTTTAAACTTTKAATGTGCTTTTGGTAGAAAATTAAATCAAGTTATTTGTATTTAGAGTAAGAAAAAACAGAAATTTTTATAATAAACCAGTGATTGCCAAATCAGTAAAATATTTTAAAGCTAGACTTCCGTTAATGTGCTATAAACATCTTAATATCWATACATATTGAACGATTAATATATTATTTCATAAACATATATACGGTTATACGGAAATATACATACTATTACTTATTTGAATTATATATTACATAATAATACATTTTTATACATTTAAATATATATACTTTTATGTTTTGAAATATTTAATTAAAATTTGAGAATTGTTGAAATAATGATATAAATTCAATCAATAACGTATCCATAATTTATTTATTTATTCATTACGATTTTAAATAGCCAATTCTTGAAATATCACCATAATAAATATTAATAAGTCATATTATAACCATACCATCTGGTCTTTATCTCAGTATCTATACTGATATTCAATGAGCCAATGAAGCGCAGACAAGTATACATAACTCAAAGATCAAAATTWWTTTGTATTATTTCGAGTACCTATATAGGCTATAATCATAAGTTCTAAACGTTGTCACCACTTGAATTTTTTCTTAGTTTAATATCTTGAGTTAGTTATTACTTATTATTAGTATTAATTTTGTTCAATGTTCATTAAGAAAAGATTAACAGGTTGTCAGACAATAATATTAATCAATAAAATTTATTGACTAGCAAATTTCTAAAAATCCAAAAATCACTTACTTACCCAGTTACTTTCAAATTGATTTTATTAAAAATAATAAATTAAAAATTTGCCATTGGTATAATTATAACTTACATCTTTAACTTAAGCTAATATATCGTTGACATCATACATTTATGAGATTACATGTATTATGTGTATTAATTATTTTGAAATACCTAAACCGGCGGGGCTAAACTAAATAATGCTATAAATTATTAATATAACAAATTAGCACTATATATAAAAATTATTATTATTGTTTACACTATACAGTGGCGTGGTAAATACTTATAAATCATGATGCCCCACGGCCCAAATAATTTTCAGTAGGTAATGCTTGCAATGTGTATGATGTTTATATTGGAAATATATAGGTATACAGGATGTCTCAGAAAGATCTAACAAAAAAAAAAAAAATTATGCTAATTAAACGTACCTATCACAAAAATTATTAATTATATAATAAGTAAATAATTTAAGAAATATCTCTCATATTAGTAAATTATACAAAATCATATTTTTAAAAAAATTATTACGTTCCAAATTAATTTAACCAAAAAAATATTAAATTCTAAAAAATTCTAAAAAATAAATATTTGACTCAGATAAATCTTTCTACCATAAAAATTGTTGTTATAATCAGATTCAAAAATCGGCTATTTTGAATTTATCCAAAAAACTGTTTATCAATTTTTAAGTTTTTTATTGTCAGTATTAAAAAATAAAAAATATATACTAAAAATATATCGCAAGTGTCTATGAATTGTTTTTTTTWAAATATTGAATACAATAAAAGTTATTCCATATTATGTCAGATCAGCGTGAGACACCCTGTATTGCATTATTGTACACTGTACAGTCCATCCTACCACTATATAGATATAAATATTATGTTGAAGATACACGCCATGACCACAGCTATTGTAGATACTATAGATAGGTATTTACTTATAATCGTTACTGCCACCTACCCTTGGCCAAGCCAACGCCCTGCTAGTTACAACGGTTGCAACACCAACTGTAAACTAGTATAATTATAGTCTAGTATAGAGGTATTTAAACTTTTTCATCTCGCRGCCCTTATAGTTTCCATATCCTTTTTATTGAAAAATGATAATAAATATTATTTATTCATGCCTCATGGCATACATCAGTTTTGGTTTCCGATGCTTTGACACGGATCCCTTCATCAAAACTTGTGACACCACTATAGGAACCGGGACACAGAGTTTGAATACCTTTGGTCTATATAGTCTATTAATCCCGTAAACATTTATTTTTATGGGTGGTCATCGTTTCCGCCAAATCTATTTCTACTTATATTATTGACATGGAGTTTAAGAACCCTTAGTCTATCTGTATAGTGCTAGCTATCGAACATCAAATGTATGTCGGGATTCGGGATAAATCATTTGATATTGAAAAAATAATTAATTTTACGCACATTATAAATTAATATAAATCGATCTAATTTATATCATGTGTCTGTGTTATCAAGATCAGAATCATTTCATGCATATTTTTATCACACATTAATCCATTTTTTAAATTTTTAATTTCCAATGGTCAAAACAACATATACATTTTAATAATTAAACTTTAAAAAATGTATGCAAAAATTATTCAAGTAATAAATAATTTATATAATTGTAAGAAATATTTGACTATATATTTATTATAAATACATGAATTTAATTAAAATCAATTTAATTTAATTTA